AGAGTGTTGTTCGTTTGCTCGGCCGCCCTTGAGCTTGATCCTGAAAGCACTCTTGTCTCCGTTGATGGGGTCGGTGCGTTTGACACCATGAGCCGCCAAGCGATGCTGCAGGCTTCTCCGTGTCCCGGGGGCGAACCAGTGCCTCCCCTTTGTGCGCATGTTTTATTCGGAGCCATCCGAATATGTGTGGCGTGACGCAGACGGGACTGCACACATCATACAGCAAGCGGAAGGGGGGGAGCAGGGTGATCCCTTGATGCCAGCTCTCTACTCCCTCGGCCAGCACGGTGCCTTGGAAGCAGCGCACGCTCAAATGCAGCCCAACGAGTTGCTCGTGGCCTTCCTTGACGATGTGATCACCATTGCCCGGCCGGACCGAGTGGGCCTTGCTCACCAGCACCTTGCAGATGAGCTCTGGGCCCACTGCCGAGTGCGTCTCAACAGTGGCAAGAAACGCATTTGGAACTTGTCCGGACGCGTGCCACCCGCCCTCGGCCAGCCAGGTGCGCCGGAGGCCTCCTGTTGGGTTGGTGCCGGCGGCCGGCCAGTTGAAGAACAAGGGCTCACAGTGCTCGGTGTCCCTGTCGGATCGGCGGCCTTTGTGCGTTCCCAGCTTCTCCAGTCCCGTGCGGGGCATGACCGGTTGCTGGAGCGTCTGCCGGCACTAGGTGGTTTGCAGGCTTCTTGGTTGCTCCTTCTCTTTTGCTGCAGTCCGCGTTGCAACTATTTGCTTCGCATGCTCGCCCCGGCGACCACTGCCGAGTATGCGCAAGACCATGATTCAGCCGTGTTGTCTGCCCTTTCCACCTTGCTTGGCAGGTGCCCCTGTCCCTTGGCGGCCTTGGCCTCGCCTCTGCTGTTCGCAACTCCGTGCCGGCTTTTTGGGCTTCCTGGGCTGACTGCTTGGCTGTTTTGAGTCGCCGCTTGCCTCGTGTTGCGCAAGAGTTTCTTGACCACCTCGACAGCCCCGACCCACAGCCAGCTTGCTTTGCGGCGGCTGCCGCAGCACGTGCAGCACTCGGCCACTCGAGCTGTCTGCTGGTGAGAGCGCGCCCGTGGTGCAGGAGGAGGGGCCTTCCACCTTCCTTCGTGGCTGGCAGGGCCAAGCTGCAGCCGCCGAGGCCCGTCGGCATCGTGAGACCTTGCTGGCAGGCGCCGATCCTGCTGCCCAAGCGCTCTTGCACTCCCAGTCCGGGCCTTTCGCTAGCCGTTTCCTCACTACAGTGCCAGTCTCATCAGTTTTGTCCTATCCCTGCCATCTCTTCCGTGTTCTCCTCCTGCGCCGCCTGCGCCTCCCCTTGCCTCTTGCTGAGCGCACCTGCCGGTGCTGTCGCCTTCTGGACCCCTTCGGCGACCATCGTGCAGCCTGCGCCCGGTCAGGTGTGCTCCGGGGGCGCGGGTGTCCGCTGGAGCGTGCGGCCGCACGCGTTTGCAGAGAAGCTGGAGCCAGAGGCTCCAGAGTCACCTCCAACACACGCCTTGCGGACTTGAACCTTCAAGTTGACCGGGTCGACGATAGGCGGCTGGAGGTCGTGGCCAATGGCCTCCCACTGTGGGGGGGCCAGCAACTTGCAGTGGACACAACCCTTGTCTTGCCCTTGTCAGGCCAGGGCCAGCCCGTTCGGCGCGGGGGTCGAGTCGCTGGTGCTGCCCTCGCCGTGGCGCGCCGTCGCAAAGAGCGGGCCTACCCAGAGCACAGATGCCGGTTGGTCGTGCTTGCAGTCGAGGTTGGCGGGCGGTGGGGTGATGAGGCCGCCTCCTTCATCCGGTCCTTGGCCCGCGCCCGGGGCACTTGAAGCGCCAGCTCGGCTGCGCCCCAGTGTTGTCGGCGCTCTTGTTGCCAGGTGGTCGGCCCAGCTGACCCATGCAGCCATGACAGCCTTTGCTTCATCCCTTTTCAGGCAGTCTGCCGGGCCGGAGCTTTGCAATGCCGGGCGTGGCACCCTGCCTCCCCTCGGCACCTTGCTGGCTGATCTTGCGCACGTGCCACTGGCGGGCGCATCCCGCTTGCCCGGCCGGTGAGCCGCACAGCCGGGAGCCGCCGGTATACAAATGACTGCCCCCTGAATGCCCCCTAAGCACATCCGGGGGCCGCCGGTATATAAGTGGCCTGCAGGAGCAGACGGAAAAAGGCGCGGGAGAAAAAAAAAGAAGAGCAGACAAGGCTAAAGACCGCATGTTTGTGCATCACAGTGACAAGCAGCATCAAATACCAGTAATACCTGCCTCAGGCCGAGCCTTTCTCGGCCGTGCAGGTGTAGTGATCAAGTACGTAGCAACCAATCTACAGGCAGCCGACATCTTCACAAAAGCACTACAACCCGTAAAGTGGGACCACGCTCTCACGTTATTGGGCATCAGGACAAATTTGCCCGAGAAGTTGAAGGATGTCCGGCCTGAGATGACAAAGCAGTAAGAAAAGTGCAGAAATCTTGGGTAAGCCCTCTTATTGGTCTGGTAAAGGACCTTGCATCACATGGGTCGCAGCTCCAGCGCGACTGTAAAGTAGAAGTCTCTTAGCGAGCTCGGGGAGGGGGGAGTTGAATAATCACGACCCCTTGACCCGCAAAGAGGTACCCCTCAAGGGTGTGCATGCATGTGATGTTAGAGGCCCCTTGACTGCATGTTGTTGAATGCCAATGTGCATTTGGCTCAAGAACAATGCCCCAAGCAAAACCAAGGTTTGCGCTCACTTACCGGACTGGGGTTAATGAGGGTCCCGGTTTCTGGTTCGCTGTGTTTCTTTCCCTGTTGAGTACAAGAGCCATGAAAAGGAACGCGTTAAATGGTTTTTTGTACGTAGGAGGGACATTTGAGCAGCATTTTGACAAGAAACCACTTTGTAGGAAGACGGCTTGCGCTGGACTGCCGCCAATTGGCGCTCAACCCCCGCAACTACTTTCAGGGGACTGTTTGGATGTCGCGCGGCGCATGGGGGATGAGCCTGCTGAAGCGAAGGGAAACTGAAGGGGAATGTGAAGAGAAATCGCCGGGAACTAAAGGGAAATGAAGACTGCTCCGTCTCAAACGTGTGAAGCTGAGTGCATGTCGGCGCCGCCATTCCCAGCGTTTATTTTCCATTTCACTTCAGGTCGCTATCGTTTTGTAGTTTGTGATAGGCCTTGGCTATCTTTGGTTGCCACGAGTTCGCAGAAGCATGTGTTGTAGAGATGTATAGTGATTTGTTGGTGGAGTCTTCTTCTTTTTCGTCAGAGCGCGATTGGTCGTTCAGCGGCTTGTTGGCACGATAGTCTTGTCGTGTGGAGGCAAAACGTTTGTTTGCCAATGGGCAAATCGCTGCCCGCTCTGTCCCAATTTGCGGGAAGCCGAGCGTGTGTCCGCGCTTGTATTTCTATAAATAATGTTTGCTTGCAAATCCCCACGAGGTGGAGATTTGTTGGTGGCATTTTCGTTGGTCCCTTCAACAAGTACTTCTTCAGCAGATCTCTGAGCAAAGTGTTGTCCAGCAAGTCGCGGTACATGGGAGCATCACCCAAGTCTGCAGCGCCCTGACTCAAAGGTTGTGAATGAGGGTTTGGCGGGGAGGCCTGATTCAGAAGACCCACAGCAAAGCGGCTGCCGCAGCCTGCGCTCGCAGTTCCAGGAAAAAAGTTCGACGCACGCAGGGTATGCTGGTGGGCGCGCCGAGGTTGTGCGGGGCCAGCGCGTCAAAACATGTGGCGCAACACTGTTTGAAGCTTGGCAAGCCCGTGTGCCGTGTTCTTCCTCGCCGGAGCAGCGTGGACTGCTGAGCGTGGACTGCTGGAACGGTGCAACGAAGGCTGGTTGCTGGACCTGCCGCAGCGGCCGGTCTTTTCTTGTCATGGCATGCGACCAGTTGAGCTTGGACACATACACGCCGGATTTGCAACATCCTAACATGTAGCTACTTTTCTGCATCTTGCGATCTTTGACAGGATCGCAGTGCGTTTTTCCCTCAAGGTTGGGGTTGGCAACGTGGTGTTTCCATACGTTGCATCCTTTGTCCTGCGCAGCTGCCTCTCTGGGTGAAAGCTTGTGCTGCCCTCGAAGTACCCATCATCTTCCCGTGACCTTTGGCAAATACCGCTAGTTCCTTGCAATGTGCTTGGGCCTGTAGCTTGCGGCGGAAGTGCTGGCACGCCAGAAAACTGCCATGCCAGCAGCTTCGCAACCGGTTGCCTCCACTGCTTTTGCTGAGAGCCTGATTTTTTGCGTCGAATGCTACTAGTGTGCGAAGACTTTTTTGGAAGCCACATGCGCTGTCCATATCTGTGTGGGATTCGCACGCGCCCACAAATCAATGTGGCCTGCCCAGAGGCGGCAGTGCGAGACAAGCCGGGGGGGTGCTGAAAAGCGGCGCAGCCAGAGCGGGAAATGACTTACCCGGAGCTGCTTGCTCCGCGGCGGTGCCGGAGGCGCGGGACCCTTCTCTCGTGCCAACGCGAGGGAGCACCTCAGTGGCTGCGAGCCTTCGCACCCTTGCCTGGCTGCGTTCCGGCTGATGGGCCCTGCCGTGCGACAGCTTGTCAGTGAGGGCTGCCGGAATTCTAGGGCTTCGCCAAGGTAAAACCCTCGAACTTGCGCACGCTCCCAAAATAAACATTTCAAGCACCACCCTTCCCTTCTTGGAGGGCATACCGTTTTTCAACGCCTCCCGACTTTCCCAAAATAAAGTAAGAGTGCTATGAGATGCTATAAGTGTCCATCTCCTCGCTGGTGGTTGTGATGCCATGCTACTCTTGGAACTTCTCTACCAAATCGAGTATTCGACAGCACATGCACGCACGCACACGCGCGCACACCCGCACGATTGCGAAATTCAGGATGTAGAAATGAGCGACATGTTTGTTGCGGCCAGCCGTGGGAGCCCGCGGCAACTTGGCCGACGTTTGGGAGCAGTTGCTTGCGTGCCAGGTCGTTGGGCTTGCAGGAGTGGCCTGTTTAATCCTTGTCTTGCCCCATTTTTGCCAGCACATTGGCTCAGTTTGTCATGGGTTGTTAGTGGGTTGTTAGTTGCGATGGCGGACATCCACATCTATTTTGGTGTCGTGCTCAGGAGTTCAATCGTAAACATTCATGGAGGAAATAGAGCGCCATTGACTTGAGGCTCGCAGTCAGGAACAGCCGAGAGTTTCAGTGAGGACTTGAAAGATGAGGCTCGAATCATTTGCATCGTGTGAACAAGGAGCAAGCTGAGTTTTTGGCAGCCGCAAAGGTGGAGAAAGAAGGCTTGACAGCCGAGGCTCGTTCCAGTAGTTTTCCTGTCTGCGTTTTGCATATGCTCTTTTTAAAGACGCATGTTTCTTGCAGAGGTGCGCGACCTCCAGACGTTCACTCCACAGGCATCTTCGTGCTTGCGCGATAAGACAGGTGTAGCATCACGCTTCTCAGAATGAGCTCACCCCAGGGATTTGCAGCTTCTCGCGTCGTCATCATGGTGGTTGCCACATATGGAGATGGCGAGCCCACGGAGCAGAGTTGAGTTGGATTGAGTTGAGCGACTTGAAGATATGTTTGGTATAAGTTGAGTTGATCTTGGTATCGTTCTGCGCGATTCTGTCAGGACAACGCAGTGGCTTTCCATCGCTGGGCGTCCAACCCGAAGAATGACGGTGCTTTGAAAGGTCAGCGGTACACTGCAACTCGGTAAGTGGGAGGTTGCTTGTTTTCTGCTGCAGTCCGATCGGCACACACACACACATGTACGCAGGAAGGCAAAACATTGAGTTTGGCTCGTGCACAAGGTGATGGGATTGGGTGACATGAATTATTCGCGCTTCAACCAGATGGGCCAGTTGACAGACCTCAATTTAGCCACTTCGATTGGACGGGCCATTCAGTCACTTTGTGACTGCTTTTCCCCGCTTACCTGTCCTCCTTTCCTGTCCCAGGAGAGACTCGGTGCAACCCGTATCTACAAGAGGGGAGTTGGAGACGATAGCCCCTTTGCCAGATGAATACGTCCCATGCATCATGCATGCAAGGTTGCGCGTCTTGGGGTGCAGGTCAGGACATCCTGGAAGACTTCGAGAAATGGAGGAACGGTGGCCTAATTGAAAAAATCAAAGCTGCCGTTGAGGAAGCAAACAAGGAAAGTCTGCCGCTCAGATTTGGCTTGACGTTTGTCATTGATTGGGGATTTGCGGGCCTTTCTTTGCAGGTCCTCCTAAGCAGATGCGTATCACACCAAGTGCCACCGCGGAGAATGGAACAAAGAAAGCCACTGAGCCGCAAGAGGTATGCGCATCCGCGGGGTATCAATCCCGCCCCCCCCAGCTGGATCTATGCATGTTGGCAACATTCTTTGCCATGTACTTTCTTTAAGTTTTATAAACCCGCACATCCCGCCGATGTCATGCATTCTCTTCCTCTGACTTTCCCTTCCCCTTCCATGTCTCTGAATGCTGTAAAATCTTGCTTGCTTCAAATGTTGCTTACTTTGACCCATGTTGAATGTGAGTGCTTCTTTGCTCTCCGAGGAGCTGCCTTTTGGCACTCCCGCCCTGGTTCTAGCTGAGCCAGGTAAATCGCTTCCAGCCGAAGACGGCGGTGAGCCGTAGCTGAGTTTGGCATGTATGGTTGCATATCCACGCATATCCACGCATATTGACCATGGGAGCGCACACGCACCCAAGGAACCAACAGATGTGACGGCACGTTTCTACTTCGAGGCGGAGAAGGCCAAGGTGTTGAAGGCCCGGTACTGTAAGCGCAGGGCGTTCGGAGATTCGGCAAGCAGATTCTGGCCTTGCATTGAATTCCTCCTTTTTGGGAAGTTGCAAAGGTCAAGGAGCTGCGACAAGTGCGGAATTTGGAAGAGGGTCTCTCCACAATGGAGGTGGAGATTGAGGCCGTGCCACATGTTAGCGGGATGCGCCATCCAGGTCTCACAATGCGCGTCGCAAACTGTTCAGCTATTGATGCCAGGCTTGCGGAAAGCTTGAACAATACACAGCAGGCGGCACCTTGGCACTGCTGCCGAGAAATTGCCCGCCGCTTGGCTGCATAGTTGGAGGCTTGGAGAGGGTTGCTAGCCAACAGTTTGCCAGACACCCTCGAAGGTCTGATGTGAGCGCGATGCTGAAGCTTCTTGGTCTGACGGAAAAGGATTTGAGCAGGCAGCTGACCTTCAAAGCAGCTGAAGGAGACAGCAGCTCGGCCAAATGATTAAGCAATCAACGGGAGTTTAATCAGGTACACGGACAAGCCCCTAGATTGCGGACCAACAGCCAAACACTTCCCTTTGGAAAGCCTCATGTTGACTGGACCCATTTTTGGGATGGTACCTTCTTCTTTCTCACATCCAGATAATGCATTAGACGCACATGGTACCTGAATGGCGTTTCTCATGCCAACATGCTATGTTGAAAGCAGTGCTAAATAAAAATGCAGGATTTATGAACATGCAGCAAGGCTGAAAACCCTACTTCTGATCTAAGGCATGACCGTGAAGAAACCGTTCCCGACACCGTGCACACTGGGGGATGCACTGTTTTGTTTCTGTGACCTGGCCCGCGTGCCCAGCAAGAAAATGCACCGCGGCATCGATTAAGTCTCTTTTGCAGAGTTGTAGGTCGGACGCTTGCATGTGCAAGAAGCGTGCCAACCAATACCATTTTGGAGTGCACCCTTGCTTGGGCAAGTCAATGTTTGCTCAGCAGGCCAGGGGCAGAATGAGACAAACTCTTCTTGGCAGCTTTCACTGGACTTGCATGTTTGTGTACGAGTGCGCGTGTGTGTGTGCGCATAATTATTTGTTGCATTGTGCATTGGCAGGCTAACATCGATGCAAGACAAACTTTCTGAAGATGCCCGTGGCTTGATTGGTACGCTGCTTAGATATGACACTGAGGAGCGCCGCTGACGAACCGCATTGCTTGCAAAACACGGTCACAAGCAGAAACCACGGTATGTTGTCAGCTTCTTTCTCAGGTAAACTCGTGGCAGACGCAGAGGCACTAAAGCTGCTGCAGTCGCCGAACGTGTGCTGCCGCATGCATGAGTTCTGGGCTCTTTTGGGCGTAGCAGGAGCTAAGGGCCATGGGCCGCGGATGCACGGCTTGCTTAGCACCTGGCAGGACTTGACCTGGCGGATTTTCTGCTGTATTGCCCGCGGCAAAAGCCACGGGAATACACCATCGCCTCCTCTCCATTAGTTGCTGCGAAGCGCATCACCCTTTGTGTACCTTTGCCTGCAACATGCAGCCTGCGCTTCAACTTGGGCTGACCAAAGGAACCCCAAAAAAACGGGCAAAGTGCTCTTCTCTCTGCGGGCATCAGTTTGCAAGAATCGCCTTTTTGTACAGTGTCTTTGCGCATATGACTTTGCTCACTCAATGTGGCCTTGGCTGACGCTAAGGTGAGCCTTACCAGTCACGATTCCGCTGAATTTTCTGCAGCGGTAGGGCATCTTGGCTGTTGGTTGCAGGCTTTTCGTTCACACGAGAAGCTTCCGCGTCAGGGTGCGCAGCGTTTTGGTTCCCTGTGCAGGAAGTTGGCTGCATCCGGATGCTTACCGCCTGCTGCAAAAGCCGAGCATTGCCGCTTCCAGGGGCTGTGTTCTCGATGGCTTTCCACAGAGCTCGCAGAAGGCAACGGCAGGGAAGTCAAGGGTTCGCGCAATCTTGGAAGAAAGCTACATCGTGGTTCGTGATTTTATATAACGGAGAGACTTCCCTCGCAGCTGACGGAGTGATGCAAAATCTGGCTGATGTTGGCGCTGTAGAACGCACGCAGCAAGCATGCACTGGAAACAGACAGGGCCAGTTTGAACAAGCTTTTGCACTTTTTTTTGCATGTTACCACTTGCAGAGTGGCCTGTCCTGTGTGCTGGGGCCCCTACAGGAGACACAGTGCTTGCGAAATACCGGCCTTCAGCTTTCCGGCTGCCAGACAAGGATGTCCCCATAGCGCCTTGGAGCTGACGTCACCCAGGGCACACGGCATTTGTGCAGAGAGGCAGGCTTTGAGGTTTGTAGCTGTCGGTTCTTTGAGGTCATGGTTGGTGCTGGCGCAGGGGTTGCTCCCTTTCGAGCCTTCTGGGATGAGCTGCGCAGAGGTCCACAAAAGGCTCCAGAAGCACGGACTCAACATTCAGACAGTCGGGGTCGGACATGTTGAGCGCATCGACAACTGTGGCCATCCAAGGCATCCTTGTTCTTTGGTTGCCGGAACCCTGATCAGGACGGGCAGTGCATCGCAGTTCGCACAGTTTTGCTGCTTCCATTACGTTGCGTGAGGATTGGCTGTTCAAGGATGAGATGAGCGGAGCTGTGAAGCTTGGTGGTGGTTGTGCTGCCCTTGCTCGGATGCAGGCAGTCCCTTTCGTTTCTGCTTGATCAAAGCTGCAAGAGCCAGCCAGGTGGGCCCGAAACGACCAATTTCAAGCCTTTTCACCGCCTTCTCACGGCCCTCCAACGGAAAGGCGAAGTGCTATGTTCAGGACTGACTCTGGGGGTTATTGAAGTTCGAGGTCCCTGCATTTGTCACATGTTGCATGCGGTTTGGGCCGGGCCGCTCGCAGCCACAGCTCAAGATTGGCACCTAGCCGTTGAGCGCGATCCAACTTGCGGCCAGCGAGTCATGGCACATGGAGACTGGCATTGGCAGGGCACTTGGATCTCATGAAGCCATCCTGACGATCTCTTCAAATGCGCGCGTGCGAACGGGTGTCATCCATTTCACTCTTGCGATTCATGGAGCCGCATGGCCAGTGGCAAGCTGCTTGTTCCGCACAATGCAGATGGTTCCCGTTTCAGCTGACGTGGTGAGCTGTAATGGTGCCATTCATGCTACAGGGGAACTGTGGTCTATCGCTTTGCGATATTTGCTCTTTATGAAGACCTTGGATTTGCAACCAGACGTGATTAGCTACAACAGTTCAATCAAAGCGGTGAAAGCAAGTGAGTGGCTCTTGGCCATGGGATTGTTGGCAGAAGCAGGCTGGAGGAAGATTCCGCTTAACGCAGTTAGCTACAGCAGTGCCTTGAGCCGTTCTGCGAGCCGCTGGACTCTTTCCGGGGCTTTTCTTCGGCTCATGTGGGCCATGGCGGTGCGGCCCAATGTGATCAGCTGCAGTACGGCCATAAGCTCGTATGCAGGATGCGGGCGATGGACCTGTGCATTGTCGCTTTTGGCCCTTATGGCTGTGTGGCGGACTGAGCGCAACATCATCAGCTACAACTCTGCCGTTCATTCATTTGAAATCGCTGGGCGTTGGTTACTAGCTTTAGGGCTGCATACTTGCATGAATCGGCAGGATCTCTTGCCAGATAGCATAAGCCACAACACAGCAATTTCATCGTATAAAGGGCAGGGTGTATGGCAATTGCTGCTGACATCCCTGTACTTGATGGGCTGGGCAGCCATATCGCCTTCCGTGACGAGCTGCAACAGTGCCATCAGTGTTTGCGTTGAAGACGGGCGATGGTCGCTGGCATTCAGGCTGTTGAAACAGATGCCATTGGTTTTTCTAGTCCCTGACGTGCTGAGCTTTAGCAGTGCAATCGCAGCATGTCAACATGGGCGATGGGATCTGGCTTCATTCGTGCTGAGCAGAATGCTGGCATCTTCCGTGCCGCCCAGCTTAGTTAGCTACAGCAGTGCAGCAAATTGTTGCGCCAGGCGGGGCAATTGGACACGGGTGCTTGCCTTGTTGACCAGCATGCTTGCAATGAGAATCCGAGCAGGGCTGCTGTTCTGCAACAGCGCGATTAGTGCGTGTGAGAAAGCTGGGAACTGGGAACTTGCAGTGCACCTCTTGCGTTCCATGATCGATGCTCAGCTGCTTCCCAGCGTGGTCTCATACGGCAGCGTGATCAGCTCATGTGAGAAAGGCAGCAGCTGGCCGCCGGCATTGCAAGTTTTGGAGTCCATGTGCCAAGCCGCGACAACGCCAAACTCCGTCACCTGCGGCAGTTCCATCAGTGCCTGCGAAAGGTGCACAAGATGGCCTCTCACACTGCACCTCTTATATGAACGAAGGGCGCCGGGCCCCACGACGATCGCTCACAATAGTGCGCTCGCCTCGTGTGTGGGCCCACGCTGGCCAGTGGCAGCGACCTTGTTGACGTCAATGTTTTGCAGGCAGCTTCTACCTGACATCGTGAGCTACAATAGTGCGATGTGTGCTTGTGAAAGCAATGGCCCTTGGCTGCTTGCCGCGGGCATGTTTGACACTATGAGTCAGGCATTAGTGGAGACAAACGCTAAAAGTCAAAACACCGCCCTTCTTTCATGTCGGAATGGCGCTGGATGGCTCGCTGGGTTGCATGTGCTCACTTCCATGGGAGCAACTCGGATTGCGGCCAACACTTTGAGTTACAGCATTGCTATTGACGTGTTTGAACAAGCCGGAAATGGCATTGTGATGGCCCAGCTCCTCGATTTCTTGGGCAAGCCGGTCCTTGACTCCCTTGAGTTGGCATTCAGTTCTGGATGACGAAAGCGGTAGACGCGGTAGACAGTAGACATCGCTTTCTTGCCTGAGGGGCGAAGTTCTGCTTGCTGGATTCGCTCTTTGGCCAGCCCTTGAGGAGTGCCTCGGGTTAATGGCGCTCCCAGTGGAGTCGGAGTACCGGGTCCTGGTTGTCCCTGCGAAGCACTTCCTTTCCTGGACGAATGCGCAAGCTGCAGTGGCGGCGGCTGCAGTGGCTCTGATCTCTGAGCAAGCTGAGTGGCAGCGGGTAGCGGGTAGCGGCTGCTTGCACTCGTTTTGATGTCTTAGCCATTTGCTCAGAGACTGCTTGCATGCGCATGGGGATGCATGCGTTTTGCGCGTGCTGTGGCATATGCTCAGCAGCGACTCTGTTGAATTTGTTCCCACTGGAGCAGGTCCAACACATTGCATGACTTGCATCCTCCCCGGACAGATTTGTTTGACGCCGGGCAATTGAAATATTTGGTCCTAGCTTTCAGCCCGCCTTCCCCAAGATTCTGCTTGCGTGCGGCTCTCAAACCGCGTGGTGATTCTGTTTGCCGTGCATTGGTGTTGGTTGCAGCTATGCAGGCTTGTGGTACTCTGTTGGCTTGTGCGCAAAGTGTTCTGCGAGACCAAACCTTCTTATTCCTTGGCTCTCAGTTCTTTTTGGAGGCAGCCTCTCCCACCTTTAAAGGGCATATTAGCCGATCGCCACGTTTGCTTTGGCAGGACGTCATCAAGGACCAAGGTGAGACTGTCAGAGCCTTAGATGTCCAACTCACTGATTGATGACATCCGTTGCCTTGTTGCCTGCAACATCTCCGTTACAGCAATTGAGGCAAGTCATTGGCTGCGCTAGGTGCCGTAATTGCAAGTATACGGCACGCAGCGTCAGGTGAAGGCCTGGGTACAGAACATGGGCGGATACGTCTACATCTGTGGCTCAACTGTCACAGCCTCAAGCCGGCTGAGCTGTGCCCGTTTTTCCGTTTGGGCGTTGCTTTGACCTCAGGCTATGGGCAATGGAGTGCTGGAAGCGCTGTCAGAAGTTCTAGAGGGTGGCAAGGAGAGGGTGGAGGAAATGCGCAAGTCCGGGCGGATCATTGCAGAGCCTTGGTGCGAGAACTTGTGGTCTCAACAAGTTCTAAAGGCAAATGGCAAACTTTCAGTCACAAGTTGCTTGCTTCAGCTGAGGAGCTGTGGGGCTGAATTTTTGTGGCTCATGCGCAGCTGGACTCAAGATGGTCCAAGTTGTCCCAGGTGAGAGTCGAACAACGGCTTTTGAACGGGCCTAGCGGCCTTGCCTCCCTAATTTCGGGCAGCTGATGCTGCATATCCGAGTGCTTCGACTCAGGATCCGCGGCGCTGTGTTTGTACTAGTTGCTCGCTCCCCATAAAGGTAATGTGTGAGGTCTTAGGCATTCAGTTGGAGCAGTGGTTGCAGCTGTTCAGCCGTGCGGGCGAAGGCTCGAGCCAGCAGCACAGCTTTGCCCCTTCCACCTCAAGCAAAGTTGCTTGATATGACCTGTTTCAGATCTTGTTTGTGCCGGATCCGGGCTTGTTGCTGAGGATGCTTCTTTTCCAAACACCACGGCTGTTGACCACTGCCAATATCTGAAAAGTGCCAACAAGATCTCGGACAGGCCAAATGCATGTAGTGCATATGTTTTTCCTCTTGTTGGTGGATGTATTTGGAACACGTGATGCGTGCGTCGAGCCAGCGGGCTGTGTTCACTCACCCTAGCCTCGTGCAGCGAGCCCAAAAGAGTGGCACCCAGCTTCCAGCAACGTTTTGATGCTCTCCGTCATGAAGACACATATTACATTTGGGATGAGAAGCTGAATAGCTTTGTCATACTGATGCAAAGACAGGGCACAGCACCTCACCGGAAGCACATGTTTGTGAAAGAACATGAAGGCGTGAATGCTAGCAGTCAAGGTTAATCGCTTGCCGGAGCGTTGGTAGGGATTGCCAGGGTTGAAGCGTTTATGTTTCATAGAACTCTGCATCGATGCTAGGGCCATTGCAAAGCCAATGGCGGGTCAGCGCTGTAACCAAGGCGGACAGACCTCACAAGGCAGGACATTGTAGCAAAATGCGCTGCTTTCTCCCCTGACCGAAATTGTACGAACATGGAATGGTTTGAGCTGCAGAATGTGTGGGACGAAACTGCTTGTCAGGTTGCGTATGGAACCCAGCAATATGCTGGGGGGGGAGCTTGGGGGCGTAGCATCCCTGAAGCTCGTCGGCATGCAAAACGGGATTTGCAACATATTGAACTTGAATATGTAGCAAAAAGCCTGCGAGCGAGCTATCTGAGAAATCGAATGCCAAGGCGCTCTTATCAGTGCTTTCTGCACGGTGCATGCAGCCGCAGCCACGAAGCCGACGGGCGGCCGAATCGGATGAGAAGCATGCAAAGCCTGCACAGGCTGTCCGTGTCGTATGCTTGAAGCACATGTTGCAGTTACCATGTGTGCTTTGCCATATGGGAGTTTCATGGAGTTTCTGAAAAGTGGGCACTTCCAAAACTCGTTGGCTTCCAAGCCTTGAAGGAGGGCTTCAATGTCAGATGTTTTGCTTTGAGGGTTTGGCCTAGCTAGGTCATATTTGTGTTGCCATGTGCTCGCCTTGCCATCGAGACTTCCTGAGCCCAGGAGGGCTTCAAGTTTGATGAACGCTTGTGGAAGCAGTTCCTGCGCATTGCGCAGCCATATTTTCTTCCTATTGCCGAAGCTTGGCCCCGAATGTGTGACTTTTCATGCCGTTTAAACCGTTTATCTTCTGTCGGATAGTCTTGGTTCCACCACAAGGAAGATGACGAGCAAGAAGAAGGACCAGGCTTCCTTGCCCTCATCGGAGCTACTCTGCTTGGTGTCTCGGTTGAGTTCTAAGAATGTTTCTTAGTGACGCTGCGTAAGATGCCAGTGCGATTGCAGAAGCCTTGGGGCTAAGTGACTTCGCGGATAAAGAAGCATGCAGATTGAGGCGTGGTCGGCGGCACGTTCCTTTTAGCACTCGCTGCTGGCTCTGCTGCTCGGGCATTGCTGCCGCTGCCAGAAGGCAGGGGGCTGGAGTTGTGGCCCTTTGCCCTTGCCATGTGCAAGGCTTGACTGCGACCTTGTCCTCTATGTCACAGGCATCGGTACAAATGGCCTGTGAATATTGCAGCTCAACTTGGCCAGGCTCCTTTCTTTGTTGCAGCTGCTGTTGCGCTGGTGGTGGCTGGTGCAACTTTCTTCCCATCGCGTCAGCGCTTGGAGGGGCGCTGGCAGCAGTCCCTTGCTGGGAGACATAAGTATTACTTTACATACAGTTTTGAGTTTCAATATCGACTTGAATCCGTACTTAGACACTGGGGATATTTGTGGCCTGGAACGCCACAAGCGGTGATCTGCCAGCTGAGGTGGGGTCTGCTCGCTTTGCTCTTATTCCTGCTGTTCTGCGTAACGGGCCTCAATGTCCTTCTCAGTTACGTGTGGTGCCTGGCATGCGGACGATTTTCAAAGGGCAGTGACTGTGAAAACCTGTTGGGGTTGTTCCATGTTGTTCCCAGGTTTTTCGAGCCATCGACAACGTCTTGGTGTCTGGATTGCATTGTGCGGGGGCTCAGGGTGCAGTTCAACCATCTGCGCCACGCCGAGGTGGCAAAGGATGAAGCTGGCTTCATGGAACAGCTTGGGGTCTTCGCCGCTGCACTTGTTGTGGCAGTGCCTGTGATCAGTGGCTTTGTCTGAGGTGCCGCGTGCAAGTGCGCAAGCATTTCCAAGCCAAGCGTCTTACGATGAATTGAAGTTGGAATAACCATCCCTTGGATAGAATCCCAATGAAACCTGCATGTGGACTATGCAGTGCCCCAAATTCAATTGATCGAGGCCGAGAAAGGCTTCCTTCTTGGACCCTAGGATCTGATTTGACTCTCTTTGAGGGTTCCCGGACCCCACAAATTTTGAGGTGTCATGTTAAATTAGCAAGGGAGTGCAATCATTTCAACCCATGGGGTTACTTCTTGCAGCATGCGTAATAGAGCTCTTTCGTTCGTTTTTGGACCCCGCCCAATGAGGGGGTGTGTTTCGATTGGGGGGGGGGAGGGTGTGGCGGGTGTAAATGCCGGGTGAGAAATATGACATCCTTAAACCCTACGCCTTGGACTTCGAGGGCTGCAAAATCAATTTCTGATGCCCATTCCAGAATCATTGCTGGCAAAGACACAGCATTGTGGGATTACGATTAAGCATAAGGGGGTACCAATAAAAAACAAACAATTAGCCACAACTTGTGCAAGTAGCCCCAACATAGCCCCAAACTTGGAAATTGTGACAGTTGGTGTCAGGTGGAAGCCAAAAGGAAAACCAGACTGAAGCAATCGGCCAAGCAGGTTGGGGATTCGGAAGCCAACATCCTGCTTTTGAGCAGCCAGCAAACCCTTGATGCAGAAAGCGCTTCAGAAAACAAAGCCACGTGCCTCCTCAACTGAATCCCACGCTGCAAACAACATTGAATCAAGTGACTCACAAGACAACTCCCCGCGATTAACAATGCGATCGCCAGCTCCAGAGAACCTGCACAGATGGCTAATGATGAGCATACCTCTTCCAGGGCTCCGAGTCAGCCCTGGGCACATTTGCAGGGGTGATAGTGGGCAGCTGAATTTTCCGATTCGCCGCTTGGAATCCGAAACTGATTTTGATTTCTGATTCATGCTGGGTTGCTGAATTCCGAGCCATGTGTTGCCTTCAATGAGACGTTTCCGAATCATGCCATGGATTCGCACTTTGTTTAGGGCTGCTTTCCGAATCATTATTGTTTTTCGAGTCAGGTTTTGTGGCTTCCAAATCAGGTTTAGTGAAGTAAACTTGTTGCAAGTCCTGATGAATCCGCATTTTGGGTCTCCGAATCCCTCTTTCGGTTTCCAAATGTCGTGTTGTTGTTTCCGAAGCAGACCCCATGGACAGAATATTTGTGTGTGTGGTTTGTGTGTGTGTGCGCGTGTGTGCGCTCTCGTTCCTGTGAATAATTTTACGGAGCAGACGCCCAGGATGCATGCCTCGTTGCTTGCAGCTTACGTGCCGCATAAACATGAATCCATCCCACTGAGGTGGTTATCGCTATGTTCGACTCAACCTAGGTATGCTGCTCAGCGTGTGAGTTTGTTCTTGCGGTGGATGCGTTTCCGTCACGGCTGCCATGCTTGCCAGAGCAATGTCAGAGGCCGTTACTGGCGGCAAGACCTTACCGAGCTTTTTCTGGACAAATACCTCTCGGATCGAGCATTCTACCTGCTGGATTCGACTCTGGGCTTATCTTGTGTGGCCCTTCAACTTAGGAACAGGAGCCACAGGCAAGCTGGACAGGCCAAGATCTTCAAAGAACTCTCCCAATCACTACCCTGGGGCCCAGGCCTACCTTGAGGGGCTAGCTTAGTTTTACATGATCGATCCTGACTTGATTTGTTGGAAGGCCAGGCAAATGTCAATTCAGTCTTTCAGCCCTCCAAGATGAGACACATTTCCGATGAGGAATTCCCAGAGCACCAATGTGGACAACCCGGATCAACGAATCTCGGAGGATGTGAACTACTTCACAAAAGTTACACTGGACTTCCTGCCGGCAGCTCAATTAACCCAACGCCACCTTGGATTGACTTCCAGAGTCCATATTAATATGTAGTTCCTCCGCCCATGTGCACAGATTTGAAAGCTTGGTGGCAGCAGAGGCTGGATGTGCTGGACAGCATACTGAATCTTATTTCCTTTTCTGCCATTCTCTGGTCAACTTCTCAAAGTCTGACTGGAGCACTGGCTATTTATGCCGCTAGCTTGAATTTGCTCGTGCATGCCGCCCTCGCTGCTGCATTGTCCGAGGCAATCGTTGGAACATATATTGCAATTGCTCTTGGAGGACTGCCGCTGCTGCTGCCGCTGTTACAGCAGGCAGGCGCTTTTGCTCTGGCCGGCTCGGCAGGACGCTTGGTTGGCCTGAACTACAAGCAGTTGAGGCTTCAAGCAGATTTTCGCTACAGCTGCTAGCCGCAGAAGTGCCAACACACAGGCCACTGGCCCATTGATGTCAACGATTGGGCCTTACCGCGATAGCCCCTCACTGATGGAGCGCCCATATGCGATGAGTTTGCAGGGTTTGTTTGTAGTGGACATCGGTTGTTTGGAGCTTTAGGGCGTCGTTGGATTCCGCTATGGGAGGATTCTGTCAGCGAAGGATGGTTGAGATCAGATATATGCCCTTCCTTGCGGAAGATGTAAGGCTTGGTGCACATCAGGGATAATGCAGAAGCCATCGCCTTCTATGGTGGTGAGAGGCGAGAGCAGCGAGAGGCGCGATGCAGGATCGCCTAGCACTGCAGCATGCGCCCTTTCTCCTTTGCGGAAACTCGTCCAGCAAACATTCAAGTGAGCATGTTGCACTACTCTGAAGTTACTCCTTCAAATGTGCACATCTCCCGTCAAAGGCACCTGGAGTAACATTTGTATATAGTCTTTCCATGTCTTTCCTGCCTTTGCACCGAAGAGGACAACCCTACCCAACCATACAGTTTTGCCCTTGATTTCATCCAGCATTGCCAGACGAGCAGATGCCACGTCAACGGCTTATTCCTGCACCAAATCTAACAACTGTGTATCAATGCTTGCTAGCTGGTCCGTAGTGCTGCGTGACATCATTTGACCAGGGAGTGTGGCATGGCCAACTCTGGGCATTGTTACCGGCGAGTGAGTTGCTGGCATGCCAGCCGTTGCCTGCGGATCCTGCTGGCCTGTCGCTGGTGACCACCTGCATTCCTTGTCATGACGAAGGATTCAGTATTGTTTGGTTGTGCTTGTCGCTTCATTTCATGCGGGGTGTTGTGTTTCAATTGCCACTTGGCAAAACTTCTCTGCTGTTGCCGTGGAAGGTCACGGGCAAGCTGGACGCTGCACTTCAGAACTATGATCAGCTGATTATTTGGGAGACGGGCTTGTCGGCTTATCAGAAGGCGCCCATAGGGTGCTATGTCCGATTGTGCAGTTCGGTAGGCTTTTTCAACAGCGGAATGCTTTGCTTGTCCACCGTGGCTAGGCGTTCTTCTACCTTGCCCGGCTAGTCCCATACTCCGTTCTTGGCGGTCTCTATTTCTCTGGGCAGGCTTCGATGCATGCCACGGAGTTTGGTGAGCGTGATCCCACCAGGTTGACTTCGGCACCCTCGGGCAAGCGCAGTTTGCGTTTAGTATGGACTGCGCCTTGAAAACCTCTGCTTTGGAAATTTAGCAGCGGCCTGACTGCCATGAGGTCCTCGGGTCGGTGACCATCATTGTGTCCCGCATACAGGATAGGTCACCAACGCAAATTGCCGAGCTTTTCTGCTCTGCCTCAGACATTTTGGCAGGAGATTTCGCGCTTCTCTGCTGGGATTTCTCGATTGGGGGCCTTCTGGGAGGCGTGCAACTTGCAGCCAAGCAACTTGCAGAGAGTTGGAGTTCAACGCGAGGCCCTGTTGCCAGATGCAGTGTGCTCAGTCTGTGACTTCAATGAGGTGCCCTCATCCGTATCCCTATAAATGTACACATGTTGTGGTGTTGTGACGTGTGCGCTGAGGAGGCGACAGCGAGCAAGCGCATCCAGACTGAAGAAGGTGTGTGAGCCTGAGCTGAGTCAGCTGAGCAGCACGCACTGTCGTCTTTGTTCCTGGCAATTGGTCGCTGCTAGCATTGCACACCTTGAAAGCCCTAAGTCCGGCCTTCAGCTGAACATGACGCTGTACACCCCAGCAGGGCTGCCCAGCTTTCCCAGTAGACAGGTTTCCTGATTTGCTGATGTGGGTGCTTGTCTCGTAATTCTCGGACAGTGAGCCAGCCTGCAGGATGGCGCTCGGCTGCTTGTGGAAGAGCTGGATGTCGCACTACAGCAAGCAGGCCAGAAACATCGCTGCGGCCCTGCGCAATGCATTTGTGCCCATTAGGACCAAACCGACGCTTGCTGGTTGTGGGCAGCTCCGGCGTCGGCAAAAGCTCGGCGCCGCACTTGGAGCAGCCTGCACCGCTCGAGACAGCCACGAATCTGAGACTAGCCTGAGACTAGCCTGAGACTAGCCTGAGACTATCCTAAGCTTTTGCCTTGCCACAATGACTCTGGTGCTCGCTGTGAGGTGCTCCGTGCGGTGGCCGGGCTGTGGACGCGTGGGGAAGGCGCAATTGAACAGAATGCAGACGCGACTGGTACTGGCATGTACCGTTGCAATATCTAGCACATTTTCCCAGGTTTCCTCAAGCGTTGTGCGTGCACGTGCCAGGGTGTACAAATGTGATGAGCGGTGCTTGCTGGTGCCACGGGCTCACGTGACAGGCCACATCAAGAGACCGGCAGCGTCCGAGATGTGAGGATCTAAGATGTGCTTGTTGGCTGCCCAGCTCGTTTTTGTTGGGCAGCTCTCGCAGAATGATGCCCAAGGCTTTTTCTTCCGCAGAGGCAGGGCGGGTTTTTGCTCTGACATGGTCGAGCGATCCCGGCCTTTCCAAGGCCCTACATGCCTCTCGGAGACCTGCGGACGCAGCTACTGTATCCGTCGGCTGGGCACCCAGTTTCCTGGATATCTCCAGCCCTGCCTGCATCGCCAGGCACGCATTGACCGTCAATTGCGCTTAGGAGGGCACGCTGGGCCACATGCCAGACCAAGACTTGCTAGAGATGCTGGGCCCTAAGACGAAGACTCTGTGCAGCTCCGGAGCAGCATCCAAGACTCGCTCGCTTTGGCTTGGCCGACCTCCCAGACCGCTTTGAGGGCGGCTTTGAGGCAGTGCAGGCGACTGCTTCTTTTTCGTGCATTTGCGTTGTGTCACTTTCAGCATCCTCTTCCTTAGCTTGCTGTTTGTGTCAGCACTGCAGATGTGGGCTGCCGATTGCCAGGATTGGTCACGGGTCTTGTCCCTCGGGGAACAGCAGCGATTGGCGGCGGCACGATGCTTTACAACGAGCCTTGCTTAAGATACAAGGCATTCCGTGCTCAGCATGAGATTCTGGCAGTATCAGCGTCAGGCAAAGCAATCCTTATTATGTCTTGGTTGCCTGCTGGCTCCAGATGCTCAGGCGCCCTCGCCTCGTCGTTCTGGATGAAGCTACCAGCGCCTTGCCGCTACCTGCAGAGCGAATTGTCTACCAGCAGCTGCTCAGAAGCAATGACTGTGCGCAGTTGTCCATGTTTTGGCATGGCGGTGCCATACTTGTCTCCGGAGACGCCACTTTGGCGGAGCCACTGCCATCATTTTCAAGTTGTAGACGAATGGCGTGCTGCGCATGTCTCGCAGAAGTCCAGAAGCCACCGACCTTGCAGGCGTGCAGCTGGCAACAACGACAACGACAGCGGCAACAACAACACCAGCAAAAGCACAAGCAAGAGCAACAGCAACAGCACGAGCAAGAGCAAGAGCAAGAGCAAAAGCAACAGCAACAAAAAACTGAAGAAGAAGAAGAAGAGGAGGAAGAAGAAGAGGAGTAA